AATTACCATATCAGTTCCCAAGTCAATACAGAGAATGGTGATAATTCCAAGGGGTTGGGGAATACCGATAATGATGAACATCAAGAATGGCGTGATCTCGGGAATGTTACTGGTCAGTGTGTAGGCGATGGACTTCTTCAAGTTGTCGAAGATCAAACGACCTGAAGGCAAAAACAGATCATACTCATCAAACTCTTATAATACCGAAACTTATACTTAGTACTTTAGAACACCAATAACACTCTAAAATGTTTTGAGAAACAACATTATGTTTTCAGAGACTCTGCTCTCGATCCAAAGGAACCTAGAACACAATGGTTTGTCAATGTCTTGCTCCAACCAGGTTTGTGTAGCTTTTCCCATTTTTTTTATTTTTATTTTTCTTTTCTTTTTTTTTATTGGGGGGGAGGAGGACAGGGGGAGGGAGGGAAGAGCTTATAAGTGGAAACAGCCAAATGAAACACAGAGTGACTTTTAGGCTCAATGTTCAACTGAAAAACTTTTGGTCTCCACTATTTCCTTTTTTATGATGCTGGGCGCAGCCTTACCCAAGGTAGCCTTCCGCACAGACACACATTGGGCTTCTCATCCAATCTTCCTCCCCTGTGGGAGAGGAAAATCGCATGACGAGCCTAAAGAGCGTCTGTGTAGGAGACTACTTTGGGTTGTCACAAATTCTTGAAGTAGGAGGCTTCATTGCTGGTTGGAAAAGGTGGCTGGTTATGTCATAACCAGCACCCTTAGTTTAGGCCACCAGAGAAGCCATGAAATGATTTTCACAAACAGCCAACTACTGGGTTTGACAACCCTGCTCACACTGACATAGGCTGCCTGGTGATCAAGCTTTACTAAAATGACACAAAAAACAGTTTTCACTGTGTGACTGAGTGTCTGATTGTGATACTTCCTTGTAACTTATGTAAAACAGCTTATCTGTTGTGTGTGTGTGTGTGTGCCACAGCCTTATAATTAAACCCAAACCCACTTCATCTGACAGATTGAAGCTCTTACCAATGGACGGTAAAAGAGATTTGACTTGTTGCAAAAATAGTAACAAACAATTTTTGCATGATAATAAAGTTTGTCTGCTGTGTCAGAAGGAAGGCAGCATGGTGTTCTCATCACTTGTCAGGTGAGAAAATCCATGACACTTCATCATAGACAGACTTAGTAGTGAACTAAAACAAACCTACATGTAAGACTGCATGCTACTAACCACAGATTACAAAGGCAACATCTTTCAAATTCTACTCTGCAAAACTTGGAAATGACTACTTCCCCATAAACTAACCCTCTACATAGTTACTTAATCAATTAAATGTTTTTATTGTAAACATATGACTGTGGAAGATAATAAAAAAAAGCAAAAGAAAATAGAAAAATAAACCTCGACTTTGGCATCAAAACTACATGTAACAATTTTTATTGAGTAAAGTTGTGTACATACCTTCTTCAACTCCAGTGACGATGGAAGCAAAGTTGTCATCCAACAAGATCATGTCTGCTGCCTGCTTGGACACATCTGAGCCAGCAATGCCCATAGCAACACCTGAATAGTAACAGTTGATAAGTTATAACGTCACGCCAATAGCCACTTAACTCCCTTTTATAAAGTTATTTGAATATGAACCAGTCACCAACATAACAGACAACCCATTGTGTATGTCAGACCCAAAATTCAAAAGACCCAATTGAAACACGTTCTATGATGCCATTGAATTTACACACCAATGTCAGCTTTCTTCAAGGCTGGGGAATCATTGACACCATCTCCAGTCACAGCAACAATGGCGCCCTGTCGCTGACAGCCTTCAACAATGATCAGCTTCTGTTGTGGAGATGTTCTGGCAAATACAATCTCTGTGTGATTCTTTAGGATTTCATCTAGCTGTTCCCTTGAAATATCCTGAGAAGAAATTACAGTCATCTCCACACATGCAACTATTATAAAAATAAATTTGATGTTGACATCTACTGAGATAAAACGTGAAAACAGATATTTCATCACTCATGCTTTAAACTCTAGGTGTGTGTTCAAAAAGCTTATTATGCACCTCATTTTGCATTTTTTAAAATTGTTTTCCAGTTTGAACTAAGAGAGAACACTCACAACACCGCTCAACAATTTTAGATTCAACTTTCTATTATGAAGACGTTTCCACAAAAATTTCAAAGGCGTTTTGACAAAGGGTGCTAGAGCTCTTAAGGAAACATAGGGAAATTCAAGGACTGATTCAACGGCCTGTTGTTTCAGATAGAGGGGTGTCTCAGTTTAAAAACCATAAAGGAAACTGTCCTGACAAGAAGACAAAAAATTCTGATGATTTTGTGAGGCTGCTATCTGTTGAAGTCCAACATTTAACTACAGGGCTGGATCAATACTTTCTCTTTACACTGACAATATAATTGGTACCTTCAGTTGTCCTCCATGTACTACAATTGCTTTAGCATCACGAGGGTTGACTTCAGCCACTGGAACTCCCAGTCGCTCTGCAATGTCCTCCACAGTCTCCATGTCTGAAGAAGCATTTCAGTGGAAATATCAGCTTCACTTAGGTTGATAGTAATGATTTTTACTTTATTTTATTTTTACTTTTTTTTTAATCTTTTATATTAAAAATACATACAGTTTAGAATACTGAATGAGTATCTACTTACTTAACAATGTATTTTCTGTTTACTTACAGTAGCTACTTCACATAAATCTATGGGTTAGTGAACATAAAGAAAAAAAAGCAAAGCAAAGAGAAATAAAAAAGACATCAAGGAAATCTAAATGTAGTCTTGACGATAGTAATGAAGATGCCTTGTTGAATGTTAAGAATCGAGTTGGTAACCGCTGTCAGCTTTCAGCTGTAATTATCTATGGTGGTAACAGAACTGCAAATAGATAATTTTCTCTGCCACACAATAATAATAATAATGACTCATAATGATAATGATAATGATAATGATGAAGATGATGATGATGATGATGATGATGATGATAATAAAAATAATTCAAAAACCATTCAGTGAATGAAGTCAAGAAAATGTGACCTTATAGAAGATAAATAAACAAGAACCTTCTCCAAGTTTTAGGCCTGTGCACTATCGCAAACTTCAGTTATTTGTTGAAATGTTTTGAAAAAATTTACAGAGCCCAGTACGGAGCTGCCATATTAGTGTACCTCGTGGGACACCAATATGGCGGCCAGAAAAAAGTGTCGACATGTGGAGCTTACTTTGGTTATTCAGACCACTGATTATTTATACTGCACAAACCTACATTTACATAAACACTTTTGCAACTACTTTTACTTCACAAATGACTAAAAATGACGGGATAAGTAAATCATTTTTTTATCACACACCACCATACAGGTAACTCTGAAATTCAAATGTGCTGGCTTCAACCCGAGGGATGATATTGAGCTGAAAAGCAAGGCTGTGGTCTAAGAAATATTATGAGAAGACCAGAGGTTACCAACAAAAAAATCCTGGGTGCCCTGCACTTGAGCTTATACGAAAAAGTAACTTTTACCAGTTGCCCAAAGGCAAAATTTAGTCGCCTGTGGCACCCAACATAGATAAAAATTTTGCACCTCTTATGCCTGATGAGGATTGAAACTCTGGTGGCTCTTTAGGTTTGGATTTTTAAACTTGATAATGTCAGGTTAAAATGATCTAATTAATGTACTCAGTTTATCAGTTGTTTTGCTGACACCATAGTAAACAGCATTATGCTTAACTTGGTGACTAAACAGATGAATTGAAAATACAATCAATTTTCACCTTCAGATATAATTCCCACTCCCCTCGCAATGGCCTTAGCTGTGATTGGATGATCACCAGTGACCATGATAACTTTGATTCCAGCACTGCGACATTTGCTGACGGCATCGGGGACAGCGGCACGAGGAGGATCAATCATGGACATGAGACCAACAAAGCACAAGTTTTCAAGTGGGAAATTAGGAGGCTGAGAACAAAAAGCATATTTTGCCATAAGTATGTTATAGGGCTCCCTGTCCCCAACTTTCGACCGAAAGAACTCTCAAAAGAATTGTTCATGTACTTTACAGCCTTTTGCTCCTTAGGGAAACGGTTTCTCTGTCATCTGGTATAAAACAAGCACTGTTTATATAGCTTCAAACAGAGCAAAATTTTAATGAGGAATTTGTCTGACACGGTAGTAGCATGCAAAAGCATGACTCTTTTGTCCTACTGAGCGAAATTGTCGTGCACATGCCATCACCAATGTCACTGAAATCCTATGGAGGGTCACAAATTGGAATTTGGAAATGTTGTTCTTTTTTTCAGGAGGGAGGAAAACCAGAAAACTGGGAGAAAAACCCTTGGAGCAAGGCGAGAACCAACAACAAACTCAACCTACAGATGACAAATGGCCAGAATCGAATCCGGGCCATAATGGTGGGAGGCGAGCATTCTCGCCACTATGCCAGCCCTGCTCCCAAGCTAAAGAAAGCATACAAGGATAGCTTTAAACTTACATCATCAGTTACAAACTCGAATCCAGGAGGATATTCTTCAACATTGAGGAAGAAGTGGCAAAAACCCAACACTCGCTCTCCCATTCCACCCAGTTCTAGATAAGCCTTCTCAAAAGCTTCTTTCATGTTGTCATCCAAAACCTCTTCCTTGCCATTAATCAGAATTGTGGAGCAGCGCTCTAGAATGCGTTCTGGTGCTCCCTTCATCACCAGTAAGTAACGAGGGTCCTCATCATTTGCTTGCTCATGGATGGAGACTTGGTATTTGTTAGTGGAGTTAAATGGGATTTCAGCAATCTTCTTGTTTTTCTCACGCATCTGAGACACATTGCCTACTTGAAGTTCAATGCATTTTAGCAGGGCTGATTCAGAAGCATCTCCATTTGTTTCCCTGTTGTGAAAAAGAATTGTAATTAAATTTCTTGCCTACGCTGTCTTCTGACATCAACATTAATACACAGGGATTCATATTTATTTGTTTTTTTCATTAAGTCGTCAGCCGGGTGAGTATGCCGAATGACAAACTTGTCCTGGCAAAATTTTACTTGCCCATTCAATAGGAAAGAATAGCACTTTAACAACATGTTAATACAAAGTGTCCCCAATTAGTAGAGGGGTATTTCCTCTCGGCTATATATTTCAACACATTAACAAACACATTGTGTTTGTTGTGTTGTGTTGTGTTGTGTTGTGTCGTGTCGTGTCGTGTCGTGTCGTGTCGTGTCATGTCGTGTCGTGTCGTGTCGTGTTGTGTCGTGGTGTTGTGTGGTGTGGTGTGTTGTGGTGTGTTATGTTATGTTATGTTATGTTATGTTAAAGTTTACTTCATTATTATTTTCACACGACCCATCTCACAGAACATTGTGCCTCTAGTCGAGGCAGTTGATGTTGTGGAGTTGGCAGACACAAATGATCCAGGTACAAATGAAAACCAAGGGCTCTTTGACTGCCATGTATATTGAAAAGAACACTCATTCTTCTTTTTTGAATTTGGATTGTTCTTCTGAGGTGCTACCATTACTAAATGCCACATCCTAATGAAAATGTGTCATGTGAAAGTGGAATGTGGTTTTGTGGTTTTCCAGTACAGAGCATCAGCATTTCACAAAATGAAAATTGAGCCTGCAATGATTTTTCACTCATGGAAAATACCACAACATCCTAGATGGCTGACCAAAATGATAACTTTATTGCAAAAGAAATCTGCAAATCATTCTCTATTTTCTAAAAGTTCCAGAAAGATGACAAGTGGTCAGAATGCAGGTACAGTAACTCATAAGAAATTTTATGGTCAAACTCACTCATCTAGTGGATAAATTTTCATATTGTTTTAGTCGTATATACAACTTTTTAGTCAACTCGGAGGACCGCACGGTCCCTGAATACAGTCAAATACACAGTGGTTCTCATTAGAAC